CGTGTTACGTTAATACACACATACTTAATAAAGGGCTGTTATTTTTCCTTTTTCCCTTTTCCATAATTTGCTTTCCTTCAATCGGAGTCTCTTAATTTCGAATCTATAATTGCTAGAAAAAAGGTTTGGGTCTTTTTCTCCTAATCCATCCTCAGCAAAGGACCCTTGTCTCAATTAAACTGAGACACCCCCCTTCCGAAAAAGTTGCTCTCTTCCCCCTGAAATCTAATTCCCACCACTATGTCCTCAGAGCTGGACAGCTGAAAATCCATTTCTTTTATCACAGTGCTCTTGAGGATTATTTCATCAGTATGAGTCTAATATTAATGGTGTTGTCTGCTTTAAGTGCATAAAAATCAGTTAAGACTTCATTTCCTCAGCAGTAGGCAGCAAGGCTAACTCTACTGCTTTGTTTTGACTACACCAACAGTACTAAAAACTGTGTATATAAAAGTAAATTGTGCATGAAAATCGTACAAGTAAACACCACTACATACAAATGAGTTAAGTGCTTTTTTTTAGCGTGCCTTAGTCAATTCTCTCTGCTGCAAGGAACGTGAAATCTGAAAGGTATCTGAAAGCTGCTAAAATCAGGACACTCTTTTCCCGGACTGTAAAGTGTGCTGTTGGCACTTTATCATTCAAAAAGCAACAAACGAAAACACTCCAAAAGGACAGAGTTAATTCGATGCAAAGATCTTCCCTCTCAGTAAATGTCTCGCACAGCACCACTCTTAGCAACAGAATGTTTATCCAGCACAAGATAAAGAGAGAGAGGCTTTTCACAGACACCTGGGACAAAACCAAAGAACAAAAGCAGCTCCCAGCGCAAGAGAGCAAAGTTAAATTTTTCGAGTGTTCCCACCTAATGTAGACAGAAGGCCAGCCATAGCAAGTTACAACAAACAACCTATTTACCCACTTCCAGAGAATGCTTGTAAATTTAAACTGTGTGAAATGTCTAACTACCTCTTTCATCCTATCAAAAGGCTTCATCAGCAATGGACAATAAAGCCACTGGCTTGACCTAAAGGGGCTGGTAGGTTAATCTATTCTGACCTTATCTTTATTCAATCATAATACCGAAAGATTGCTTGAATGAATAACCAGCGTTTAACAATGCCTACAGCCGCTCTTTCACTGCAGTGCTCCTCTGAAGGGCCCTCCAAACCAATTTTTTAAATTGCAGGGAATATTAAACATTTTCAAAAATTACTTGTAAAATAAACCAAAATGCCGTTTCTCACTCATTGGTACAAAACAGAAAAAAAAAAAAAAAGGAGGTAAAAAAAGCAAGAGCAGAAGAAAAATTTTATCTTGCTCCTGCATGTCTCTTTCAGACTTCCACCATCACTTATTGTCAGTTTTAGATAATATGCTCTCTCTTCTTAACTGTCAATCACATCTTCTAGTATTTTCACTCAAATGGAAGAAACTAGACCAAAAAAAAAAAAGCTACTACTTAATAAAACCTGCACTGTAACAACAGGCTTAATCATACAGGCCTCAGCACTTTGTATTTTAATAACTACTGGTTTGTTTTCAAAGCCCATTCCATCAGGGCACTCAGCACTAAACACAGCAAAGCAGGCAGTTAAAATTAAGAACATACTTAGGCCCACAGAAGTCAGTAAACTGGATTCACCACTCAGTGACTGATGTAATCACTCAACTCTCATACGCTTACATGTCACAGCTATGTCTAAATGCCCTTCTGGAGAAAAGTCTCCAGTGCTCAGCACTCCAGTGCACAGTCCTACCCAAGCATTTTCCCTCCTTGTAACAGTGCAATAACCACCTGTAGGAAGAACTCCAGAGTCTCACATGACCCTGTTAGAGCAAGGCAGTAGCAAGGCATTTTGACATGAAGCAAGAGCTGCGCTCTCATTTGACATATCAGTTTGAGCACTTACTCTTCAGCACCAACAAGCAAGTGCATCTTCGTTTAACGTTCTACACCTGTAAATGGTTCAGCAAAACACAAGAGAAGATAAAAAAGTACAGCCATCAGGCACCAAAATGACATTTGAAAATGCCATTAAAAAAAAAAAATCCATGCCAAGCCCAGGAACAGGGTCTAAGTTTAAAAATATTCCTAATCAGATTTAGGTAGATGCTTGAAACACCAGTCAAGACTAAGTGCCTTCACCTTTCTCCAAAAGCACAATCAAAGAACAAGCAAGTCAACCATAAGGCAGTGACTACAGCAGGCGATACCAGAGAACGAAAAATAAAAGCTGGGAGTTTCCCCTTTGTATTGCAGAGGGTACTGTTACAAACTACTCAGAAGTTCCTACCTTGAAAAGCTGTGATGTGACCAACAATCATGTACTTCAGTTCGAAGTTCAGTGCCTGGATACTTTGAGTCCTCTCTCTCCGAACAGCTGCCTGGTAGCTTTCTTCCATTTTTTTGGTGCAACATGTCGGTGCCCTGTGTTGACAGATCTGTAAATCTGACTCTTAAAGCAAACAAGAAAAACACAACAGTTAGAAAACCTTTTAAACTTTCACCATAAAAATAATGCTTCCTAATGTCAGAATTACCACAAAGCCAAACCCGCAAGGAATGACATTGTGAAACTCAGTTGCTGTCACAAGAACACTAATTCATGACCATTTCATCTACAGAGCAAGTTGAAAGTCGATTAAAAAACTTGATTTTTGTAGGATGTTTTTACTGTTTTAAAAATAATTCCATCTTTGTCCGTGTTCCATTAAGTTTAGTGCCCTTGATTAGGAAACCCACATCACACAGAGTTGTGATGGATATTCAGGCTCTCTCTGTTCTACACCCTGGGATTTACAGGTGCCTGAAAGGATCTGGTACAGATTGCAGGTGAGTATATTCTGGTGCTTCACAAACATGCTTTAAGAAGGGGACAAAAGAAAGCAAGGGACCAGTAAGTAAGCTAGAGGCCCACAGAAAATACCAGAGCCAAAACAGTCACGATATTAAAAAGCAGGTATTTCCACTACAATTTCTCAGTGGAACAGGAACACCCCAGCAGGAAGGCTCATGCCAGTGTCAGGCACTTCCTTCCGTGCACCTTGAGGCAGGAATGGTGGTCCTGAGGGAACAGAATTGCAGGTGTCCACCTCCATCCCATCCCTCAGGCTTTAAGGAGATGCCCTTCCCAGGAAAGCCAGTGCCACACAGAGGGCCAAGCTCCCCCCACTCCCATCCCACCAATGGCTTTAGGGACCATTTTAACACCCAACAGCACAGGGTGGCAGAGCCCATCTGGGCTGGACCCAAAGCAGTGGTGAGACACCAGCACCCTCCCTGCCCCAGGACTGGAGCTGGCCTGTCCCCACACTGCCACGTCTCTATGCCCTCTGGTTCTAAACCACTGTCAGCACCACCAGCAGTCCCCTTCCCAAACAGCACCACACAGATGGAAACAGCTCCAGTTCTCAAAAGGGCCACAATCCCTCCACAGCATTTCTCACTCAGGACGCTGCAGAGCACCCAGACCAAGCCCTGAGGCAGAAACATCAATGAACAACCCCACTGCAATAACCTTCACACCTGGCCTTGCAGGTGAACACGTGGCAGTGACCACACAGAACTGACAGCGATTAAAAACAAGAGGATGCAGACAAAAACCAGCAGAGACACCAAAATGACCAGGCTCTGCTCAGAGCCAGCTCCAGGTCAGCAGCTGACTGAGGCCAAACCCGCAAGGAGGAGTTCAGTAAATCTCCCCTGTCAGGGAGATTTAGGAAAAAAAAAATAAAACCACCAAGCTAGCTGAAACATCTCGTTCAACTTGAAAGTGTTGTTTCCAGTTTACAGGAACTCTCATTTGAAAGTGAGGCTAATTTGTGTCCAAAAGGTCAAAAGCCAAACGAAATATTTGAATTAACTATATTTTTCTATCAGTTTACAAACAAACACCAAAGTTGTCACAGACTGAGCTAACTCAGGATACCATTTCGGAGGTGGATTCGTTTCACGCTTCAATCTAATCTTAAAAATAGGAAACTACAAGTCTCCCCAGCCAGATCTGCAGTCCCAAACCCTGCTGAAAGCCCAAGACAAGACCATTGTGCCCTGGCAGGAACCAGCAGGCTGCCAAAAGCAGCAGCAGGAGGGCTGTGCTTGTCACCAGCTGGGCACACTCCTCTGCTCCCGCCTGCCAGAGAAGCTCTCCCAGGTTGAAATTAGCTTCTTGGCCAGGCTAATTTTAACTTGGGTGGGTTCCCTGATCCAGTTCCCTCCGTAACACGTTTGTTCTGTCACAAGGAACGGGGGGTCAGGGAAGGACCACTTCTCTGAGCTGGCACCACAAGGCATGTGTGAAATTATAGCACAGGCTGCTGAGCAACTCAGTGCACAAATAGGTGTCTGAGCAGAGGGGCTGTAAATGTTACTTGGCATCTGCAGTGCCAGGCTGCTGATACTCAGAGCACTTCTCCTTGCCCAGCAGCCCTCTGAATTTTTTCGTTTGAGAGGCTTTTGCAAAGCTCAGACCTGCATCACAAAGGTTTGGAATACGAAGTGCTCCATGCTATGTGCTGGCCACAGCCAGGGTGCTCTCCCCAGCTATCAGTGCCTGGTGCTCCCCTCTGAACCTCAGCAACCTGCTTCTCCTCCAGAAAGCTTTAGGAATACAGATATCTCAGCTGGAACTGCACTCCTGGGATTCCCCACCCAGCTATCTCCTCCAAGGAATACACCAGGAGCCTGAAGATCAGGTTTCATTGGTCCAGAGCCAAAATGATAACAGGAGCCACTCTTAAATAGAAGCAGCACTAAGCCCCTGACAATTAAGGAACCTGATGTAAAACACAGAGCACTGAAAGATCGCAAAGTCCCCTCCCCTCCCAATACTGTCAGGTCAGAGCTGTCATGCACAGCCCAGCTTCAGAACTTGCCTGGGGGTATCACTTTTAACACAATTATAGAAACCTAATAAAAGTTTGCAGCACTGTACATGCCTGGGTGTTGAGATTAAATTAGAACTCATTAGTAATGTCTTAGTGTCTTTAATAGCTCTGATACTAATTTTAGTTTATCTCATCTCTTTCATCTTAATAAAGAATACCCTGCCCAACAGAAGAAGAAGAGGGGAGGAACAGAGTGACCCAGCAGTGACTGAGGGACTGAGCACCCCACAGCGCCGTGGAAATCACCCCTGCTCAGATGGGCTTTGCGTATCAGCACAAGAGAGACAACCTTAAGGGCAAATTCCTCTTCAAGTTTAGGAACAAAGTCACTCTATACACCAGAGAAAAAGCACCATTTGTGAAAGAGGGAAGAAAAATTACCAAAAACATCATTTCAGTGATAAGATTCTGCTAATTTCCCTCTAGGACTTTCTTACCTGCTTTTCCCAAGCTGCCTCTCATTTCCTAATTCGTGATTTAGTTTGGAGGAACCTCTAGTTCAACCCTTTAAAGCAGGGTTTCAAGTACCAAGCCAAGTTTCAAGTACCCCCAAAGGAAAAAAAAAAAAAGCTACCACTACCCTCGTGGTAAAATAAGGGAATTAAAAAATCCTGTCTAAGGATAACTTCCCAAATTCCAACTCACGCCTGTTGCTTCTCAGTGCATCACCATGTGCCTTCAACAATCTGACTCCACTTCCTTTATTTCCTGCCAAAAGGTAGCTGAAGAGAGCAGTGTGACCTCCCCTCATCTTCCCTTCAGCTGAACACACCTCTCTCTCTATTCCCTGGTGTTCCAGACCCTGGCCGTGATGGGAGCCCTCTGCCAGAACTCTTAACTTTAAGCCACAGATGCAAAGCACCTGCATCCCAACACACCTCTCTCTATATTCCATTTTCTTAGGCATTAACTTACTGACAGAGCGGAATGCTTTCACCTGTACATGCCTGGGCTTCAGTTCCAAAAGGTTTATAGCTTTCCTAAAACAAATTAGTTTTCTGCTTCAGATCAGATGGAAGGATTACTCTGCTGATTATGCTGTTATTTTTAATTTCAAGTCTTTTTCCCTTGAGTAATGGTTAAAACTGTGGCTCAGCTTATTCTTAAAGTGAGAAAAACTACAGACTTTAGATCCTTACTGTTATTATAAAAACCAGGATAAAGTATCTTGCTCCACTTTGAAAAACAAAGTCACATTCAGAACAGCAGGGAAAAAATGTACTACCTGAGTCTAAAAAATGAGTATTTTGGAAAGCAACAATGATCCCTATTGAAAACTCCTCTGCAATACCAAAGCACTTAATACATGCCAAAGGCATCACCTTCAGACACCTCCCTGTCAGAATTATAAATCACTTCAGGTGCCAAATGCACAAAAAACTATGCATCTTCATTGATCTCCAGCTGGCCAAGTCTACTGAAATCATCTGGGGTTTATTTTGTTGTGTGTTTCTTGGAGACTTCTTTATTTTAAATCAAAATGTTTTGGGCTTCATTTGTAACTTTGGTACCAATAAAGTCTAAGGCTTTAGCCATTAAAGATATTAGTATCAGTATTAATCAGTATTAATCTCCTAAAAGCAGAGAGGCCTGTTGAGCAAGCAAAATTAAGTTCTTCCAAAAGCTGAATATATATTTATTTTGTTGGCTGACCATGGAGTTTAACAGTTCTGTCTTTAAAATGCTGTACACACTGTACAAGCCACACTCTGAAACCAGAACATCAAGTAATCACACGGTAATTGATCCACCTGCATTAACTTTTTCAAAGACAGGCTGATTTTTGTTTTCATTTTTTTCAAACAAGCTGAGCCTTTAACCTGCACTGCACAGAACATTCACAGGCACGATCCGAAGGCGAGCTCAGCGCAATCTGTCTTCTGACAGTTTTTATTCCTTCGCATTTGGGCAAACTTTTCAACACTACTTCTAAACAAAGCTTTAGTCGAAAGCCCAAGATTTTAACATTGTACAAGTGTCCTCAAAGACTCCAAGATTGATTATGCCTTAGTAACACAGAGGAGGGTGCCAGAAGTCCTTTACATTGTATGTGGCCCAGCTGAACAGGAGTCAACGCTTCATCCTTCTCAAGACTCATCTGCCTGGTGGAGCTGCTGCCTCAGCTAGAGGAAAACTCAGCAATTAAATGCCAACTAATTCAGGGGAGAAGGCCAAACCAAATGAAAAAGGAAGCAGTTTCCAGCCAGGGCTCCCCCTGCAACTATTTGATGCATGAACAGAGCCCATGGAGCCACATCAGGGAAAGGGAATCCAACCCACTGCCACGAGTTTGTGAGGTTCTTTTCCTACACAGCTCTTGTGCCCCAGGAGTGCTAAAAGCATCATCACCTTCCCCTGCAAGACTCATGTCACAGAACTCATTCCAAACACGAGCCATCCTCACCCAGAAGGGAGCTCAGCTCCCTGTGCACAGCCTGACACCACAACCCAGTCCCCCTGGAACTACGAAATGTTTTTACCTACAAAGACCCACAAAGCACATCAAACCCATCAAGCTCAACGTGTGCATAGTCAAACAGCTACTGTTTGATTTGTCAACGTTTACAGT